TCAATGATTATTTGTAAAGACTTAAAAAAAAAATGATGCTTCATTAAATAAATAATTAAATACTCATTTAAGAACAGTGAAAACAGCAAATAGGCTAACAGAAAGTGAAATAATAATTTAAAGTAATAAAGCATATGAAGATAAGGCTACTCTTTTGATATCATGTAGGATATTATGATAATTTTACTTAATTTATTATTATTTATAAAGTGGATTAGTTTTCATTGTTATAATTAATATTAGTTATAATATTTAGTTACTTAGTTCATGATTAGTAAAGATGAAAACAATTACTTATAATTTTATTCAATAACAAAAATAATAAAAGATATGTCAATAATTTAAAAAATAAAATTAATCCTAGAACTAATTATACCATAAAAAAGTTAAAACAGATAGATTGAAATCATTTTTTAAAAAAAGTACCCTATTAGAGGTAATATTTCGATAACTTTTTATTATTATTCATTAATTGATATCAAAGAATCTCATATCATAATAACACTAATAAGATATATTAATCAACAAGAAGGAAAATTTTATTGTAAGATTTAACATTTTAAAGCTCACCTCATTCCAATTAAAAGAAATAACTATCTAATAATCATTTTATTATGATTAATTTAAGCTCTATATCGATTCTAATACATTTTTGTTATTTAAATATACATTCATTTTATTAAAATTCAACAATAATTTATTTCCTAAAAAGAAATTTTTAACTTATAAAATTTTGGTTACCTCAAATTGCATCTGATTTTGAAAGAAACGTAAGAATATTAGAAATTTCTTATTTTTTAATCATTTAAATTATCAGGCTCAATATTGTCACTTCAAACTCTTTTCTGATGATAGAACACCAGACGAAACTGTTTAAAATCAATAAACTTAATTATTATTTTTTATTTTTAAACATGGATCTAATAATTCCCCTTTCAAATAATTCAGATGACTTTTAATTTCTGTATAATATAAGCATTCAACATAAAGTTTCCAAATATTAAATTAATTAGAAGCACTACAAGTTAATGGTATTTGATTTCTAAAGATGAGGTTTTAAATTACTTCTTATCTCATTTGAAAGATTTTGTTAATTCATTATATGCTAACTAAAATATTAATTTATTAATATAATATGAATTAAATATAAACAGATGTTATTTATCAAATTTTCAAATAAGGAAAGTTTGAAGCTAATCAAGAATATTCCCTACAGGATTTGATTCAATTTATTAACTAATTGGTATTCATTGAAAATAGGGTTTAAGATTGGAAGAGAGTTTCCAAATGAATTAATTGAAAGAATTAGATCAAATCATCCAACTCATTCCCAAGGGTACTATTTTACAATAAATGATTTTGTTGAGATGACATTTAAAGAATATTAAAATTTGACTTAAATGAAATAAGATTCAATTAATTAAATTCTAGTGTATAGAAGTGAGTATAAAAAATTATAAGATGAATTATAATAAGCAAGGAAAGATGAAAAACAAAATGAATATGAAATAGATAATGATAGCACTTTATTTATTACAGTTTCACATGGTGAATGTTTGAAAATGGCAAAATACTATATTTTGATAACATTGTTTAATTTTTAACAAAAAACTAAATTCTCTGATATGACTATTCATCCTATATGGAGTGAGGATTATTAGATGTAAATATTTTCAACTAAGTAGAATAGTCATGTTCCATCACCTCATGGTTAGATCTTTGTAGGATTGTTTGATGCAGAGTAACATTTGATTGGATAGTTGTAACTTCCTTTGTATTAGTACAAAGATTAATAACCTCATACACAGGATTACATTTTGGAAAATGAATACGGCGTTTTAATAAATTCAAAACTAAAATTAAATTTAACTATACTATGGGTTCATAGTAAAGTAGCCTTATTAGAAGATCATATCGCAAATGTGAACCAATTCAGTAAAGAAATTGAGGAACAATAACTAATTGTTGATAAGGCTAATTATCTATTGGATGCTTTAACATTTACATTTAATAAATCCAGAATTTAACGAGTGCCTCATATCGCAAATACTCAAGAGTAATTCTTATAACCCACTTTATAACAAAGCGAAGAATATGATTGGAAAATTAAGTACTAAGATAATATGTATAAATTGGCAAAATAATTAAAAAGTATTAAGTTAATATATACGAAAAGGAGAACATCAAGACACGATAGAGGAATGGTAAAGAGTTGTGATAATTTTAAGTTCAATAACATCTATTTTTTCTTTGATTTTTGTATCAATGGCAAGGCCTTGCTTTTAATAACTAACATCAACTATGTCTATTGGCATGTTAGTTTGGGCATATAGAATCAATTACATAAAGACAATAAAGATTTTAGCATAAATATCTTTGATAATATTAATTTAATGTATCTTTGATTCTATTTGGTTACTAATTAATTATGTAAAATAAATGGTATCATTTTTAGGAAGATTGGTGGAGAAAAAATCTTATTCTTGCTTAGCAGTTATTTGGAAATTCAATTTTAAATTATATCTCTTATTATAGTACAATAATTTACTTACCAATAAATTTTATACTAGCTGCCTGTTCATTTAATTTGTCGTTAAAATATTTAGCATAAGGGAATTTGGATTCATAATGATGATAATTATTAATATTCATGTATTTTTTATATATACTATTCTGATTGGATTTAAATATTTCTAATGTTTTATTTAGAGATCAACTTAATTATTTTTATGTTAAGATATATATTATTAAAATATGTTGTTATTCAATAGAAATTCAAATCGACTCCAACAGAACATAAAGTTGTGTCACCTACATATTATTTGATAGATGGTGTAGTCCATCCACCCAAAGCGTATTTTGGATAATCACTGAAGGAAGGATTGTTATCATAATGAGCATACCAAAGAGGATGAGAAGTAAATTTGGCACATGATGAAGCTGATCCCATAATAGTTGACCATTAATATTAAGAAGCATAGATTCCTACTAATCTCTTCTTGGCAGTAAATGCATTCACAATATCTTATAAAAATTGGCAATTTCCTGTATGATCAGAACTACTCCATCCACATCCAGTACTTGGGTTAGATTCTACATCAATCCAAACTGTCCCGTATTCTGAACCAAATACATTATCAAATTCAGTTACTTAAGCAGAAGCAGTCTTTTCTATTAATGATAAATATAATTATTACTTCCTTTGCAAGGGAAAAAATAGGCATCTCCAATTAAACCAGCAGCTTTGGCATTCTTAAGATTTTAGTGGCCTACGGTATCTACTTCGCCATAACTCTTGTATCCTCTGACGATAGCAAAAGAATATCCAGCATTTTTAACACAAGAAAAGTTATTGAATGAGGCACTCAAATCGATACCTTTAGTGGCCAAAGTTGTAGATATTGAAGCTAATATAACCAATCCAACTAAGCAAAATGCTCTCATTGTTTTAATATATTAATAATTATTAGAAAACACAATTTAGTTAAATAGAGAAATTATGTGACATCATTTGATCTATAAACTAAAAAAAATAAAATTTAAATTAATGAAACATATTAATTAATGTTTTTATTCTCTAACCTATTTTGAATCACCATTCATCTAATTCTACTTAAATTAGTTATATTCTTTTAATTGATTTTATTCGATTTGCATCCATGTTTAAGGATTAATTTTAGTTTGTAAATGAACACTATATGATATCTTTGCAATAACAAAACTTATTATTGTATATTTAAGTGTTCTCCTGAACTATAACCTGCATAGGTAATTAGATTATTTATAAGTACATTTATTTCTCAAATCTTAATTGGTGTAGATTTAATATTTTGATTATAATTGATTAAATCCTTTTGTTAATTTAGTTATTTAGTTTTGATCTTTTTTGAAGAATTTTTGACTTTTAGGAGCAACTTCTTTAAAATTTTTTTGTCTCAAGTTTTTCTTTCAAGTTTAAATAACCCGTTGTATATTCTATTCTTCCTAAATTGGGGTTTTATTTGCAAATTTCATGAAAATATCATTATTCAGTAAAACTGTATTTCTAAAATTTCTGTTATTTTTATTTATCTATCGGCATAATGATTCAATCCGCTATTTATTCTAAGAATTTGTAACCTAATGACTAAACATCGTATTGGGATTAATTTTTAGTTCGTTACAAGATCTGAGCACTCATTTACGATGAACTGCCAACCTATAATTTCATTTTTTTTTAGTTAGAATAAATTCGTTTAGCTAATCCGAATTGATTATCCTGCATTAAAAAATTAGCTGGTTGATTTTTCTATGTATTATTTCAATTTTCAGTTGAGTCTTGATTTCTAATAATAATTCATTTATGATCTTAAAAGCTTATTTTTTAGGAATAACTCTAAACTTAAATTTATAGTATCTTAAATTTTATAAATTCCTTTAGGTCTCTTCCTTTCCTAAACTCAGTTATTTAATATGTATTATTGTTACTTTGCACATCTAAAAATTTTGAGCAGAAAATCTCGATTATTTCTATTTATGACGCTATTAATGGATTGACATAATCTGTATGAAGCAAATTTGTTGCCAATCACATTTTAGTGCAACAATTTTTCAATTATTTAAAAGGTGTTTTGATTATTATAATTAAAGTATAAATATATAACAAATCATAGTAAGATCATAATAACAGTGTTAAAATTTTGCGAATAAAGAAAAGAGTATCTCTACCCAGTTATTAGAAATGCAAATTACTATCTAAAGTGTTTCTACAAACATAAACTGTGCCAAAAGCATCCTTGCCTAATTTAGCCTAAAGCCGAATTTTTAATTCTAAATTTTTTTATCTGGAGAGTTTTTGAGTTGTTATATTCGTATTTTGAATTTCAAAGATTTATTTAATGCTTAGAGTTATACTACAATTAAAATTTATGGCAAAAATAGTTGGATTGTGTAAAGTCATTATATTGAAATTTTTACCAATATTAACATGATATATCAAATTTTTTTTGATTTATTATAATATGGCTAAGTATTTTGATAATATTTGGGAAAACATATTTGTAATTTGTTTTGGAGTTTTACCTCTGCTTTATAATTTCGCAAGTTTGGCATGGAAGAAGTAAAATAAGAGTAAGATTAGTGAATCTATCCATAGATTACAGAGCGGCAAGGTTATAATTTAATGGAAAAAGGAAAATATTCATTCTGAATTAATGTTCAATTTTTACAAAAATAGCTATCTTGAGTATGTTTACACTTTTGTCAATATTACAAATAATTGTCAACATTTAATTTCATTCAGAGTATGCTTTCCTATTAGATTAGTTATGTTTTGATAACAATTATAGAGTTTTGTTAGATAATAAATTATTTGTTAGCAGGATTACAAATATTTGAAGATGCCGACAAGTATGGATAAACAACAATTGCTACTCAAATCAACCTCATAGTATTTTATGAAATTTCTATTTAGCTTCAATTTCTTTGTTTTTGTGGATTCGCTATTTTCTTGTTTATTTGGTAGATATATAACAAAGATAAATATGTAATAAAACATGAAGATATCAGCTGTTGGCTTATGTTCATCCTTAGAGGAGTAGGACTCTTGCTATTTTCAGTGATTGTGTTCTTTATGCCATAAGACATAAAGCTTTTATAGACTGTTGTATCAGAATATAAATATAAGCTATAAATGCTTGGTGATGAAGAGGAACCCTAGATAATAAGGTAATAACTAATAACAAATGAATCCAACTTTACATTTTGCTAACCAGGTGATTAATTGTAACAATAGATAACAGATGTTGAAGTGAATTCTTATTAGGACAACAAAGATATAAATACATAACGAAAATATATCATTTATGAAATTACTTTTAAGTATTAAGGGAAACATAAAATAGTATTTCGATCCTTCAGTGATTTTTTAACATTTCACAGAGATATCACTTTAACATATCCAAAATTCGATTTCCCCCAATTTCCTTAAATGACTAAATACTTAAATTCATAAGACATAGATAACCGAAGAAAACAATTAGATTTATTTTTGAAAGCAATAGCCAATCAATTTGGAAATAATGATTTTTTTTTAGATTTTTTGAATGCCACAGGAAAGAGCTTGTAGTACAAGGCTAAAATACCTTTGCCTCAATAATAATAGTAGAAACCTAAGAAGATTGCCACACAGTAACAATTTTCAAAAGCCAAATCTATACAAAGTTTGATCCCAGAAACAATTTGGGAAGGACAAGATGATGAAGATGAGGAGAGTATTGAGGCAGATACAAGAAAAACAAAGAAAGCTTCAACTTATGTAAAAATGCATTTTGGAGAAGAGCGACAATATTAGAGATTTAATAGTGTTAGTAATCTTGATGAAGATCAAAGAAATTTTAATTTTGAAAAACCTTCAAATGGTAAGATTTATTATCTAATATTTAAAGATTAGATAGGCTATGATTAAATTTAGGATAATAGTCCTTTTGAGGAGGAAGAAAAAAATTCGTTATAAAATGTGATGATAATGTCGTGAAAGTTATTTGCTTCATTTACTATTTATTTATATATATATATATTTTAATTAAAAGATATGAGAGGCAAACCTTAAGCTTAAGTAGCTCAAAAACAGTAGCCTTAAAAGCAAGGCAATGTACGCAAACCTCAGGAAAGGTATTGATGTTCATTTAGTTTAATAGGCCGGGATTGACTGATGATGAAATAGATGAAATCAGAGAAGCATTCAATCTTTTTGATACTGAGGGTACTGGAAGAGTAGATCCAAGAGAATTGAAGGCTGCTATGTAGAGTTTAGGATTTGATTAAAAAAATCCCACAATTTTCAACATGATTGCAGAACTAGAAAATGAAGGGTATTTAGTGTAAGATAAAAAATAGAACAGACATTGACTTTGATTAATTTTTAGATGCAATTACATCAAAGTTGGGTAATAGAGAGAGTAAAGATGGAATCAATAAAATATTTGATTTATTTGATGATGATGGAAGTAATAGTATCAACTTGAATAATTTGAAAAGAGTAAAATGAGAATTGATAAGTTAGGTAGCCAAAGAACTTGGTGAAACAATGACAGCTGAAGAATTGGGTGAAATGTTGGAACGTGCAGCTTCAAATGGCAGAGAAATTACAAGAGAAGACTTCTACAATATCATGGTTAAAAGAACATTTTGATAACCTTTCAGATAACATAAAATATATATATATATAAAATAATAATGATTAAATTAGAAGCACATACATTTCACAACAAAAATGTATCTCAGCCTGTTATGATATAAGATAAATCTCCTATTTATATGGTAAGGCAAAAGAAAATTACTTTCAGGAGAGAATAGATAAATAATGATTCGAACTTCTTGATTCAAGTATATAAAAAAATCTAATCCAACAGACTGAAGATTCATAAGAAATAATAGTAATCAAGCCTGATAATCCAGATTTCATTATGAATGATTTCACTAAAATAGCTATTCAAGAGGATATCTCAGATTTTTAAGCTTTGGAATTCCACAACAGAGCTGCAAAATTATTAGAATTTTATACTTTACATTAGTAATTAATACTCATTACATAGAATATAAGTTTAATATACATCTGTCCTATTCTCTAAAATTAATTATGCGATTATATTGAAGAGATATGCAGCATATGATGAATCCTTAAGTTTATTGTTAGATTGTGAACAGATTCTAAAAATTAAGGGGAAAACTTTAAAAAAAGGGACATTTGATACTCTCTAAATAGCTAGAATGATATAAAATAAACTACTTAGATTGAGAATAATGTTTTAAATTACCTTATTATTTTCAGAGACTAAAAGGTAATCATTACAATTTTTAGATAAGAAATAAATAGGCCTTAGACATAGCTAAAGATGCTTTAAAGGTTTTAAGAAACATTATTTAATCGACAATCAAATTATGTTAACAAATAGCTCTATTCAACAATATTAATAAAAAATAAAGAGCTAATTCAGAAATCAATTCACCCATTTAAAAAAACATACAATCTCAGTCTATTAGCTAACCTTAATAATAACCTTAAGCATTGAGCTATCCTTAGATTGTGGAAATAGTTTTTAAGGAAATTTTGAATTCTATAAGGAGTGTTATGCCTTATGATGAGAAGTAAAATGAAAATGGTAGTTAAAATAATTTGTTAGTTCGTAATCATTAAAATAGAAGTTAATCTTTATTTTCAACAGAGTAAATCTTTTAGACTCAAACGAATAATTAATAAAATAAACTATTCACAATTATTGAAGACAATCATCCTATGTTGTAAATGCAAATATTAGGATTAATGCAGTTAACAAATATAGATTTAGAGGAATTATTTCCTATCAATAGCCATGAAATGGTTTTAGCAGAAGAAGTAATTTTAGAGTTGGTACTTCATTAACTAACATTTTTTAGATTATGCTAACTGGTTTAAGTTTTTATAGTATTTCAACCGAATTAAGATTTCTGAATAATCAACAAAATAAAATGAACATAGAAATTTGGTTAGGAAAAGCCTTGGAAATGTTTTATACATTTGTTCCACATTCAAGTTTAATTTTCTCTTAGATCTATTAGGTTTATCAAAAACTATATGGTGTAGATAAGCAATCAATCGTATTTTATATCAATCATTAAATTAGCCTGAAGATGAAGAAGTTGAATATCATACTAAATTGCTAAAACCACATGCATTTAATAATAAGGCCACACTCTCGAATAAAGTTGTGATTATTGTCAAAGTCCCTATATTAAATAAATAAACAAAAGAACCATTAAAAAAAATGAATCAACCCAATTCAACAATTACAAAACTCTAATAATCTTTAACAGCTAAAAAACAAATTCTATTTCCTTAAAAGCATTCTGTCACTTAATATGAAACTGAAAAAAAGGTTGAAACATAATAAGAAGAAATAGAAATTTCACCTAAACAATAATAACAGCTCTTTATTAAGAAAAATAAAATTCTCTAGCCCTAATTAGATATAAAATAGAGAGTTGAAATTTTAATGAATTAAATTTTAAATTAATAAGCTAAACTCACTTAAGAAAAGTTAAAATAAAAACACACACCTATTACTACTCTGAAGTAGAAGTATCATATTAGCAATAAAGTTTATGATGAACCTAAATTGCTAAATCTCACAACTTCATAATAATTAAAAACAGCAATTCCTGTTAGCAGATCATTGTCAAACTCTCGTAAAGCAAGTTAAACCAATCTAAAAAATTAGAATAACAATAGCTCAAAGACTGCTTAATTAAGATATAGAACTCAAATCAACACTCTTCCAGGTGATGATTCTTCAAAATAAATTGCATAATAGATTTCTACTTAGGTTGCTAGTTTAAATCGGTAAACTAATGTATCATTTTTATTATATTATTAGAAATACTTCCTACTGAAACGGAGTGATTCTGCCAAGAAATCAAAAATTCCATTTCAATAGCATTGAATTACTTATAAATATATTTAATATATGTCTACAGAAGCAGATATTAAGGAATTTCTTAAAAAAAAGGATTTTTATGAGATTTTAGGTGTTTCAAAGACTGCTACAGATGATGAATTAAAAAAGGCATATCGTAAATTAGCTTTGCTTTACCATCCAGATAAAAATAAGAATCCTAGTGCTAATGAGGCCTTTAAGAAAGTTGCTTAAGTAAATAGATAGCATTACTTAGGCTTATGATTGTCTATCAAATTAAGATAAAAGAAGAACTTATGATTAATATGGGACTGAGGAACCAGAATAACATTATCAGCATTACAGACAATAATGGGGAGAAAGTCCGGCTGAATAAATATTCCGAACTTTCTTTTCATAAAATGGAGGGTTTGATGATCTATTTGAGAATGGGTTTGGTGCTGGATTTGGAAATGGTTTTGGAGGATTTTAATTTGTTCAATAAAGTCCTGGAATGTTTTATTATTCTACCGGTCCTAGAAGGAATCGTGGTCAACATTAATAAAATCATAGAAGATAAGATTTCGATCAATAAGAATTTTAGAATTAAAGAAGACAAATTTAAAGAGGAACTAATTGGATACAAATTTCATGTTATCTGATTTTTATCTATATTTTCTTTGGAAGTTCAATAACTCAATTTCTAAACTATGCTTTTTCTGAAAAACCTTATCATTAGTTCGAAAAAGATAGTACATATCGAAATATGTTAGAAACAGAAGTATATATAGTTTTCATTATTTAGATTTTGGGTTAGAAGTTCTTTGCTAGAGACGAATATTTAAGGAAAGACGAACTATTTAAAAAGAATTATGAAGCAGAGATTGATAGAGAGTATTTAGTTGAATTAGATAATTAATGTATAAAGTCAAAAAATGAAAAATAAAGATTAATGCATGAAGCAAAAAAATCCTGGTTTGTTAGTACTCAAGAAAAATACTTAAATTAAGCTAATCAAGTGAATATGGCTAGTTGTAATTAAATTAATGAATATCGAAAAAGCATTAGAAACTTTTCTCAGATTTTTAAAATATGAATATTATTTTTGTGTACATTTTATTGATATCAATTAATTGTATATAAATGAAGCAATTACTAATTATATAAAAATACTAAAATCAATTGAAGTTATGAGGAGGTTAAAATTATAAAAACTATCTATCAGGTGATTCAATTTCTTATTAATCAAATTCAAAATTATTAAAAAATTATTTTGCTAGAGGGGAGCAATAATTAAAACAAGGAGAATGAAAAATATTAGGTGATTGATTTTCATGAAAATAATATCTTTAAACCGGAGAAATCATTTCATTGCATAAAAATTAATCTTCTTTTTAATATTCTAATTCTGCTTATTCTACTTCAATTTTTGCTTCTAATTTTAAATTTATATCACTTTTCTTCTTGACAAAATTTAAGTTATTTTTAATTTTGTTTTATTTTTATTTTACTAACTCCTCTTTTTTAATTAAAGAATCATCTTCTATTTCAATAGCATTTTTATCTTAACAATTAAAATATCCATCTAATTAGTCTTTATCATCAATTATTATACAATTTTTATCTTATTACTCCTTATCAATTTTCTATATAGAAGAGCAGTCTTTTTACTTTAATTTTCTTTTCACTTTATCTTGATGATTGGAATCAAGTATTTTAAACTCTTTAATTAATAAATGATTCTGTGATTTACTAGAAATACTTTTATTTAATTTATTTTTGAATTCAACCAGTTTTTCTAAACTCTAATATATATCATTGATATATTTCCTAATAGTTCTAATATTTTTTATTTCAGTTATTTTACAAGGTTGTTCCAAAGGTTAAAATACTTTAGATTTGAATACTACTCTGCTTGCCAGACAATTATTAAGTTAGAAGGATTCTGGAAATTTTCGATTAACTAATTGAGACAATTTTTAAATAGAAAAAGGTGCTATTTCAAAGTTTTTATTATATGGCATAGAGGCTTATTTTTCATAGCAGTTATTTAAAATATATTCAAATTCTTCCATATCTAATTTAATAGATGAAAAGTATTCTAAAGCTTATTTTCTTACTTCATTAATACAATTATTTTCATCCTCTTTAATTGTTAATGATTCCCAAATAATTGAAATAATCCATTCAATTAATATTTTTTTATTGGTATAGCATTCACGAAAATTAGATAGTATATATTTTAAGTGAGATTTATCTAATTTTGGACATGGAAAACCTATTAATTACAAACTTTATAATTGATTTTAGTATATTTCAATTTTCTTCAAAATATCCTAAACAGAAGTACATTATATATTTAGTTAATTATGTATTTCATTATCTAAAGTAAATTTAAATAATTGATCCTCAAGTTTAGGTTCAGAATTTTGACTGTTTTCTAAACTAAGATTAGTTTCTGAATCAATATAATTTAAGAAAGCTGATGAGAAATAGCATTTTTCTAATTATTTTTATTTCTTTTTCTACCTTTTAGTTCGACAGTCTAAATTACCTTGATGGATCGTAGTAAATGTATTAGCTGATGTTTTTGTTTCTAATAAAGCAATAGAATTCTTTTCTGTTTAATTATCAGCATCATTATTAAATCTCTATCTCTCTTCTTACTTTAAGCTATATTTATCACTTAATTATAAATCTATATTTATTATTTTATCAAGTTCTTGAGATAATTGATTAAAACTATTAATTACATCAGTTCCACTCTTATAATTCTTAGTTTCAATATCAATAAGTAAATTCCTAAATTCTTCTAATTTATCTATTATTGATTAGATATATTTTCTTATCCTCCTCACATTTTTTAAATCAGTGATGTTACATAATTATTTAAAATCTTCTGTAGATTTTGCATCATATACTTGACAACAACATGGATGATTCAAACTTCTCAAAAACATGGGCATGGGACTTTCTAGCAAAGCAAAGAAGTTAGCATATTCGAACTAAGTATAAGGAATTTTACTATAATAAGGATTGCAATATCTGGATTCAAAAAGTGATTCTATTTCGTATTCCCATACCTTATTACTCCATTCTATTTTAATCCCTTTTATGGTGAGAAATTGTTCAACTCTAGTTCTTATTGTCTCTAATCTAGTTTCAGGATCTTCTATACTAGTAACTTCTCCAATGAAGCTTATTAACACTCTAATCATTCGTTTCTATTCATTCTCATTTAAATCCATAATTCCATTAAGATAAGCAATTATTTATCCACTATCTATTTAGATAGATGGAAAACCAAACAAACAAACAAGTTGTCGTTTTAATAAGTTCATATTACACTTTTCTTTTATTTTATCTATTTGTTATCTCTCATAGTCTTGACAATCTAAATCAAATTCATAAGAATTCCAATTAGGTATATAATCAAAATCAAACAAATACTCCTATTCAGACATTATTATGTTTATAAATTATATTAATTATTCTAACATCATTACAATAAGAGACACTGTTACAAACAACCTGATATCATTTCTTCATTCTGTTAAAGATTTAAATGATAGCTTATTTACTATATTGATTGTCTTGTAATTTATTATAAAAATGACAAGAATATATTATCCAAATTTGTGTAAAATCATTTTTAGTATTATCTTTTAATTCTTTTATCCTATTATTAGTAAATAATTTGTTAATTTTAAGTGATTGAGAATTAATAATATAAATTTATTCATAAATTATATATTAGTTTTCTTTCAAAATGAATTTTATACATAAAATATTCATTAATGTATTTAATCATTTTTAATCTTATATATATTACAACTATCTATTATAGTAAAAAAATAAACTATATTTTTAAACTATCATTATATATCATTTTTTTTAACCTCCCTATTATTATTATTTAGCAAATCTTATGTTAAAAAGATCATCCAATATCTCAAAATATGAATATTAAGATTTATTTTCAGATGATTATATTTACTATTTCTCATTAATTTCATTCTTTTCCTTATTTTATATCAAACCTTAAGAATTGTTATCAGAATTTATGAGATTCTAATTCTTGATAGGTTTAAAATATTCTAGTAAAGTCTTTGATTTAATTACATTTATTTATATCTTCTTCCTTTATAATATTTAATTTTATGGTTTTATTTATCGTTCTTAATCAATTTATTTTTTTTATGGCTCATCTATAATTGGATCCTTTTGATTTTGAACTTTTAATGTAAGTTATTCTATTTGTTCAATCATGGCCTATGGTAAAGTGACTGGCTTGAGTTATAGTACTTTCATCTTTCTCAAATAATATTCTACTGATAAATCTTATAATTGATTATTTGTCTGATACAAATCAACTTAAAATTCCTTTTGAGATTTTAATTAATAAATGTTATTCAATGCATTCATAATTATACTTAAGTATTCTCTTATTTATCTAATATTAATTAATTCATTTTCATTCACTAAATCCTTGATTTCGATATCATCTTTAGTTTACAATGGGAAATTCTAGCAAAATTAATGTAACATTTGAGTATTGCTCCATCTATTCATTAAAGTAAAAAGATTTAAAGTTTCAAACATAATTTAGTATCTTTCTTTCCCACTTAAATAACTCTTCATCTTCACATTAGGCATATGGCAATAAGGAATTACAAATAAAGTTCTTCTTATTAGCTTCTTCCACCTCTCTAATGTCCATTCAAGCTTAATTCCACAGTTTTCTAGATAGAATTCAACCTGTTTTTAAATCATAATTTCTTTTGTTTCTACATTTAAATTAACCTCATCTCCTCTTTCTACATATCCCTCACCAATTGCTCCAACTAATTTCTATATTACACTCTCATCATTCTATATAATTTCTTTTTCATATTACTAGATAAATTATTTAATCTTATCCTAATTTAAATTTATTGTTGGAATTCCAATTTCTGTTAGGGCTTTAAATTTAGCATCATGAAATTTGATCTTTTGATTAATTTAAGACTTCACTTATTCATCTAATATTTCTTAAAGCTTTTCATTTTTTTTTTAATTTCGTTATTAGGTAGCCTATTTATTTTTTGTAGATTTTTATTTAATTTTTGACTCTTATGTTAATTTAAGATTTTATTAATCTTTCTGCTCTATAAATTGATTGTCCTTACTTTGTGAATTCAATCTATTTTTTTTTTTGTGTTTGCGAAGTGATTTAGTTTTAATAATATTTGTAAATGATAAAGTTGAATTATTACCAGGAATTTTTCTATTCAATACTTAATATCTAGTACCTTCCTATATCATTTTAAGATAGTTATTTCTTTGATCTCAACTTCATTCGTTTTTTTCTTTTAAGCTTTTAAGATGTCTAAACATTGTTGTTTTTTTCTACTCCATTAGATTTCATTTCTAATTAAAATTTTTATAACAAATAATCAAATTGAATTTATATTAGAGTAAAATAATAATTATAGAGAACTAATAAATATAAGTTTTGATATAAAGGCATTATTTTTTGATCTTAAATTATTATTCTATTTTATTGTGAATAATTAATAAAAATGAATTTATTCTATATATAGATTCTAATTGTTATAAGATGAAGTATTATGGATATTTTTTATAAGTTTAATCAAAGTAAAATAAGTAAAGCATTTTATATATAATTTATTACAGATTATTGAAATGAGTCAATTTGTTTAGAGAAATTATATATTATAATTATAAATTAAATAAACAGATAATGTTTAGGAAGTAGGATTTCAAAAAATTGGAATTATTAGGTTCAGGAAAGAAGCATACCAAGATATATCGAGTTTAGCATATACAAACAAATAAGATTTATGCTTTAAAAGAGATTGAAGCAACTAATTTAGAGAAATTAAATGAATACAAAGAAGAAGCAGTTTAACTCAGCAAAGTTTAAAATTGTGGTAATGTGATTCGATTCTATGGATACTATTTTGCTGAAACTTTATACAATACATTTCGTTTAGGAATCATTACTGAGTACTTAAAATATTTATTTATATAGGTACATGGATCATAACACAAATTTGGAAAATCTTTATAGGAAAAGAAAGAAACCTAATTAATTCTGGAAAGAAAATGAATTAGTAACTATGTTGTTTAGTATAATATCGACATGCTCATATTTGCAATAAAAAGGAATTTGTCATAGAGATATAAAACCAGCTAACTTATTTATGATTACAAATGGGGAATTGAAATTAATTGATTTTGGTGAAAGCAAGGATTATTTCTTTGATTTAGAGAATGAAGCTAAAAATACTTACACAATGGCAACTATTAGAGGAACACCTTAATATTTATCACCTATATTATGGAAGGCTCATGTAATTGATGGAAATAGTAGATATGTAGAACATAATATTTATAAATCTGATGTTTTTTCAACTGGCTTAGTTATGTATTAAATGAGTGCAATGCAAGAAGTAACTGGATTCAATAATACTTAACAAAATGAAGGAGAATAATTAATTATATAGAGTTTGGCTTAATTAGAATAAAAGTATAGTCCTGCTTATGTTTCTATAATAAAATTGATGTTAATTTTTGAAGAGGCTTAAAGACCATCATATGTTGAGATTGAGCAATTATTTATAGAACATGAAGAGAAATATCATTCAGGTTAGATATCCGAGAATGTAGCTATAAATGATTACATTTTGTTATACAATTAACATTATAATACTATGTTAAAACGAGGACCTCCTTATAGAACATCATAAGAAGCTGAAGTATAATTTAAAAATGTGATCACTTAACATATGAAAAATGCAGGTCCATCATAAGTGATTGAACAATCTCAAAAGTCAAAATAACCATTAAGAGAATAACCATCTTCTTAGAAATAATAATAGATTACATAATAATAATAATAATAATAATAATCTTAATAAGTTTAAGTTATTAAGTAGCCTATAGTATCTTAATCCACTTTTTATAGAGATTCTACTTTAATATTAAATGATTCCTGTTTATGGTTTGAATTTGGTGGTAAGACAATAAGTAAATTTTCAACAACTAAATAAAAATGGAGATAGATTGCAAAATTAGATGTAGAATTAGATAGATAATTTACAACTCTATTTGTTCCAGATAAAAAAGCATTTTATCTTATTGGAGGATTTCAAGAATCAAACTTTCGAGTCTATTAAAATGATAGATTGGAGTTAATGAAACATTAAATTCCTATGAATAGATTCTTTTGTTCTTGTCTCTATTATAATAAAAAAATCTATTGTATTGGTGGATATGATGAATAACATAAAGTTTAATTATCATCAGTGTTGTATTATGATTTAATTTCAGAGAAATGGGTTTAATTAGCTGATTTAAAATAACCAAAAAGTTAAGCTGCAGCTTGTAGAATTAATGATAATGAATTAGTGTTATTTGGAGGATATAATAAGGAAGATGGAACTTTAGATACAATAGAAAGATACTTTATAAATGAGAATAGATGGGAAAAATGTAATTTAAAATTACCATTGCCATTAAGAAGATTTATGGCAGTAAGAGTTAAAAAGAATTTAGCATTATTGATAGGAGGTTTAACAATGTATGCTAAAGAAAGTTAAAAAGTTTTGAAAGTAGATTGGGAGAAGAAAGAAATTATAGAATGTGAACCTTTAGAAAAAGGTAATAGATTTATATTAAATATTTAGGTGGAATTGTTGAAAGTGAAGTACTTCTTGATAATGAAGGTAATTTACATATATTTCTTGAAAATGCAAATGGTACTTCACCACATGCTCACATTAAATATTATTTTGATCCAAATGCAACAAAATATGAGACTAAAGCTGATTGAAAAAAAATATTTAGTTAAAGAATTTTTTTACACTATCATTAATCTTACAAACTTGTTTTCAAATATTGATTGAAAATGTTTTGAGCAAATTCTTAATGATCACGATCATAATTATGAGTATTAGGCCTTATGGAATATGAAATTATTTGCTTTCGATTTCGTTTTTAATCTTATAAATCAGTGTCACTATTAAATCTTCTGTTTATCTTATTCTAAAATAATTGATGTTTATTGTTATTATTTAAATATTATCTCTTTCTTGTTGATTATGCAGTTTAAGGTATCTTAATTTAAGAATAATCTAAAGAAATTTTTTAACTCTCTTCTTTCTCTTTCTCTTTTTACTTAAAATTAAATTTTAACCAACTTAATTTTCTCTCTAAAAATATACAATCTTTATCATCTTCTTTTTTAAAAACCTTTTTTATAATTGCAAATCTATTTTTTTACTCACAACTTAATTTAAAGAAGGGTTTAATGTTATTTTATTAACAAAATGTTTAATTATGCTCTCTTATTTAATTATTATCACTACACCATGTAATTTCATTTTGTCTGGTACTACTTTTACTCGATATGATCTTTGGAGATTAAAGGGGAAATATCAAGTTATTAGGTTAAATCTTCATTGGATTACGAAAATGTTTTATTATAATTGCTTTTCTCTTAGGAGACTTCGAGTGTTCCTATTCAACAGTTCCTTCAACTGGATAATTAATTAATTATAATATCATTATAACAATAAGTTCTATTATAAAATGATTTATATTCTTATATAAAATATATGATAATAATTAAAACAAATTCTAAAACTGAATTATTATCTTAATAATTTATTTAATATTTTGGTTATCCAGATAAAAATACTATCAAATTTCATATCTAATTATATTAAAATGTTGAATTTTATCTTAATGAATATTATAATTATCAAGTTAAATATAATTAGTTAGTATTTTTAATAATAATAATAATATTTTAAACCTTATTTGTTATATCTAAGTATTATATTGAAAATTATCAAATATATAAATAACAAATATAACATAACAGAGAAGAATTATAAGAAGTAGAATAGTTAAATTTTTCATATATAAAGTATATTGATTACAATAATAATATTTTAATATTTAATAGGGTTTCAAGCAGTTGCATTTCCATTTTCTAAATAATGCTTTTTCTATATCAATATTACTTCTTCTAAATGTTCTCTATTATAGATATATAAATTTAATACTAATCAAAGAATTTGCCTGCATACATTAAGACATCATCTGGTTTTTCCTCCAATACTCTAAATAAGAAAATGCTTAGCATAACAGATAATTCTGGATGTTTTCTTAAATAGATTTCATTTGCCATTCTGAATTAAACTTTCTTTTTTTCCAATTCAACTGCTTAACTTGTTACTAAACCTGGTTAACCAGCAATATCATGTGGATTAATATATTTTTCTTTATCATACATATTTCGGATTTAGTAATCATAAAATTCATTTACATGTTCTTTTTCTGATTGATTAGTGATATTAGTATCATTAAGATGATCAAATGACATTAATATTGAATAATTAATTTAATAATGAGTTTTCATAAACTTATTTTTTGGACATTCACAACTGTTCTTCTATATATTGCTTATAACAATAATGAAGGATTTGAAGTGAATTCAAAAAGAGGTGTGTTAGCAGCCATGCTATTTATTGCAATGATAGGTTCATTGAAACCCAGTGATCCTTTTGGTGATAAATATGGAGCCATTTTTAGAATATAATTATGGTTATCAGCCACATTTATAGCCATCTTAGTCTATTTAGCATTTTAAAATGAGAAAGATGGTAGATATGTACATCACTCAAATAACTTTAGCTTATGAGTTTAGGAGATAATAGATTAGGTAAGCCTGTCACTAAGGATATGCATACATATGATGATAATTGTGAATTTGAATGGATAAATATTGTTGACAATCTAGATCATTACTATTGGAGTCATGTAATCAATTGGCTATTGGCTACATTTCTTGTTAGAGACTTTTGGTTTCTTAACTTTTGGTCTGTTTTAGATGAAATTATTGAATTATCTTGGTAACACAAACTTCCACATTTTAGAGAATGTTGGTGGGATCATGTATTATTGGATGTATTATTAAGTAATACTGTTGCTATTATTATTGGAATGATCATAATTAAGAAATTCAAATTTTAATAATATAGTTGGTTTGCTAAAGATACCTTTACAAATCCAAAGAAATTTGAAGCTGTTCTTATTGTAATCATTGTAATCATAGGCAACTTTTTAAATAATTTCTTCTTGATGAATTAATTATGGGTTCCACCAAAATGTTGGATGGTTGTATATAGACTTTTAATATGGTTTATGTTAGGTCATTCAGCATTCAGAGAATTACATAATTCAATAACTGATTAAAACTAATCATATCAATTAAGATATCTTACATATTTCACGATTGCAATAGAAACATTAATATCTATTAAATTTTTACCTGATTGTGGAAATTTATAAAATGAAGATACTCCAATATATATATGGTTACCATGGCTAATAGTTGGTTTAGTATCTTTACTTTGGTGGATTAAATTGAAATTAAAATAATCAAAGCAATAAATATAACCATAATCACAAGAAACAATATAAAAATAAGATAAGAGTAGAAAAGGAAAAAAGAAAGATTGAAAAATTGTGTATTTTGTATAAATTAATATATTCTAAATAAAATGGAACCTTTTATATATAAATATTATTAAACATTCATGTTTGATTCTATATTTAATAAACATAATTTATATAAGAAATGCTGTTGATTGAATTAAGAATAAAGATACTTTCTAATTTTTCAATTTTAGAACAATATGCATGAATGATTATTTTAGAAGGTCAAGAATAATAAGAAATAAGGAAATTAATGATTTTTTTAACGAATATTAATTAATATTAAGATGATTCCCGGAGGAGAATTTATATAGTGTCTACATGAAATCAAAGAAAATTGCCCACCTTTACAACACTTGAATTATAGTCATAAAAAATCGTTTAAACAAAGTTTAGACTCAATCACTTAAAAGATTCCAATTGTAAAATCTATTCATAAACTTCGACAAGAATAAGAATAGAAAATATATTAAAATATGTAAAAAATGAGGAGAATGAATTTAATGCATGAAATCAATAAAGTCAATCCAAAGTTGCATCATGAATTAAAATTGATTCCTTATGAATTGCTTACTATTAAATATGGTATATATATTTAACTTATAGTTTAGTCGAATGTAAATAATAATAATAATAAGAAAATCATAATGAAGTGTTATCAGATAATAGTTATAATAAATATACATAATAATAACAACAATTAGAACATCTTAGTTCTGGACTCAAAATATTCTAACATCGACCATATATTAGAAATATTATGGATGATTATGAACAAGATAATAGCAATTATAGTGATTCTTATATCAATAAATATTTAGATCTGAATTGAATTAAAGTTTATATTATTTAATATCAATTTCATAAATATGAGAACTAAATTCCATACTCTTTCAATTCCAACTAAAGTAAGCATCTGGTAATCTGAAATTTCAGATGAATAAAAAAGCAAAAAATAAAATAATACATATTCCAGATCAAAATTAGATGATTTCATAAATGAGAAACCTGATCGTCTTCAAACTAATTCTGATCTTAAATTGTCTTAAATTCTTAATTATAAACGTAAACTTGCATAACCTACAAATATTGCTTGGATGTATAACTATAAATCATAATCTAAATTACATAAGCAATCATTTATGAATGAATATCTAAAATCTATTATAGAGGAAACTAAATTAAAACCAAATCTAGAATAATCATCAAATCCAAGAAATCCATATATCAATCATAAAGATTTTATTAATGACAAATATTTATAGAGAAAAAAACTATTTCAAAATCCTAGAAAATTCACTAAAACATTAAAATGATTTTTTTGTTATAAATCTTTTGATTATATATGAAAATCATTATTTATGATGAATTCTGAAATATATCTAGTTAAGTTAAATCAACTATTCTGGCATAGTAAACTGTTATCCACAAATCCTGTGACTTTACAAATTCGTTCTGGTAATCTTAATACAAATTGGGAAAAATCTGAGAATCTACAAATTGAACTCAAAAAATATAACTCGCTTTAAGAAGGAATCTTAGATATAGGTGAAATGCTTAAACTTAAACTAAGATAAGGATATCATGAAATTAAGTCTTCAGAAATAGTTAAAATATATGAATAGATTAATTTTCCAGAAGCAGAATATATGTATGAATTAGATTTGAAATACAAATAGTTTCAATAATAAAAAGGGCTTATTGATGATAAGTAACTTACTAAGAAAGAATAAATTGTATAAAAAATTGAAAGAAAATTAAAATAACCAGGATTAAATTATCCAGAAAAGTCATGCTCTGAATTATTAGATGATGCTACCCAAGGTAAATTAGTCTCAGTATGGCCAAAAAATAAAATGAGACCTAATCTTGGAGAAAATTTAGGATTAGGACCTACTTTTTCAACTAGTTAAAGGATATCATGTTTATTAGCCTAGAATTGGACTGTGTCAGTAGATCCAAAAGGATATTATATGAGTGAAAAATTAGATGGAATGAGAATGATATGGACAGGAATGGAGATGTTTACTAGAAATGGATATTCATTAAAATTTCCATCTTATTTTATTGAAGGTTGGCCAACAACTTATTTAGATGGAGAATTATGGATTAATCGAGGAACATTTAATAAGGTATTAACATCAGTTAGAAAAAGAACTCCAGATCCTAATGCTTGGAAGACAATTAAATATATGGTATTTGATGCTCCATTTCTTCAAGAACCATTTAGTGATAGATATGCAAAATTAAAGAAGGCAATTGAAAAAATAAAAAATCCTCATCTTATTTATCTTCCTCATAAAATTTGTAGAGGAAAAGAACATTTAGCAGAGGAACTTGCAGAAGTATAAAATAATGGTGGAGAAGGTTTAATGTTAAGGGATCCTGATTCTTTATATGAGGGAATTAGATCTAAAAGTTTGTTAAAAGTTAAATCTTCTTTGGATGCAGAAGCTTTTATTATTGATTATATAGAAGATACGCATATGAAAAAATAAGGTATTTTAGGAGGATTTTTAGTACGAAATGATTAAGGATTAGAATTTGAAGTTGGTTTGGGATTGAAAATTGGAATAAAAAAACAAAGACCTTCAATTGGTACAAAAATAACATATAAATATTGTGGATTAGCAGAAAATGGTTATCCTAAATTTCCAGAATTTGTACGATAATATCCACAAGATATTTGAGTCAATGTAATTTTCAATAATATACATTATTTTTTAATTAATTACTTATTTATTTTATAACTATCAGTCATCCAATATTCAACGTTTATATTAAATAAAATTTCTTAATTTTGATAATTTAAATAATTCGATCAAGATCAATAAAAATAAGCTTCAAAATTAATTTAATTTTTATTTATTCACATATCATTGTTCTAGTTTCTTTAATAATAAAATTATTAGAATAAATTCTAATAAATGAGGTAATTAATTTAAATCAATATAGATCCTAACAAATTATTTAAATTTAATAGGATTTAGCTCTTACTCAAGTTGATCCTATTACAAAATTATCAAAACTCATCTTTTTATTAGTATTTACGAATATATATTTACTAATTTATCTGACTCATTTAGTGTTTACATATAACCTAATGCAATTAATAATATTTTATTATTCTTTTGATGCTATGGTGATGTTATTTCTAATCATTTTAAAAATGAAGTAAATTATAACTATTAACTTTAGATTTAAATTTGATGTAGGAAGTTCAATATTTGATATTTTTTTTTCAATGATTATCAAAACAATTCTTTTAATTCATTTTAGATTTAGAGAGGTGGAAATTTAATTATTAGGTTATGTTGTTTTGGCCTATTATTTATTTAGATTTTTGGTTATCATGTTTTAAAAAGTCATATTTAAATCACCTATACAACGATATATAATTGTATTTATTTCAATCAAAATAGTATATTTAAGGCATAAAAGTATTATTGGCATTACAATTATTGATGATTCTTATTAAACTCAAAAACATGATAGATTGGAATTGGTTTGTGGTATTTAGTGTGGCATGGAGTTTACTGGTCATATTTTTTATTTTTCATCTTATCCTTATTCTATCTATTATTGAAATTATACATGACTATTTAATCAAAAGAGCTACAAAATCTTAAATTATTGGAAGCTTTTGGTTGATATTGTATTTATTTGGTTTTAGTGGAATCCCAATGTGGTTTTGTTACATCATTTGTAAAAATTAAGAAATAATTAATTACCCTATTAGACAAACTAGTCTAATACTTAGTATTCTAATTATTTTGCAAACTTTCTTAATTTTAATTTTCTCCAAAATTTGTAGAAAACATATAAAGTATTTTATTATGATAGTATAGAACTTATATTCAAGATTTTGGTTTTGAAGATGAAGTATT